TTTCTCTCTCTTCTCTTTCTCCTCTTTCTCTCTCTCTCTTTCTCTCATCTCTCTATTCCTCTCTTCTCTACCCTCTTTCGCTCTCCTCTCTCCGTCTCCTCTCTCTTTTCTTTCTCTTCTCACACTCTCTCTCCTCTCCTCTCTCTCTCCTCTCCTCTCGTCACTTCTCTCTCACCATCTCTCTCTCTCCTCTCCTCTCTCTCTCTCCTCTCCATCTCATCCTCTCTCTCGCTCAATCTCTTTCTATCTCTCTGTCTCTCTCTCCTCTCTTTCCTCCTCTCCTTTTTCTTCTCTCTCTCTCTTTCTCTCTCTCTCTCTTTCCCCTTCTCTCGTCTCTCTCCTTTCTCCTATCGTCTCCTCTTCAGCATATCAAACTAATTCTCTTCTCACTACTCCACTCTCTCAATCTCCGTTTCTCTCACAACACGCTCTCTCTTTCTCTCTCTCTCCTCTCTCTCTCTCTCTTCTCTCTCTCTCTCTCACCTCTCTATCTCTCTCTCTCTCTCTCCTCTTCTTCTTCACCTCCTCTCATTCCATCGTCTCATTCTCTCTCTCATCTCTCTATCGTCTGCTTCCAGAGCTTTGTTCATACCTCGTCTTAAAACTATGTATGGTTCGTGCCTCCACTACATAACTTGCTAGGCTATTCCACTTTCTGACAACTCTATGACTGAAGAAATACTTCCTAACATCCCTCTGATTCATCTAAGTCTTCAGCTTCCAATTGTGACCCCTTGTTTCTGTGTCCTCTCTCTGGAACAACCTGTCTGTCAGTGTGTACATGTGTGTTTATGACAGTATGATAGTTTTGCATATAATATTGGTGTATAAACAACAATTGGCATTGAAATCAAAACATTTACTTTAAAACATAATTATTATATCATGAAAACCAAGATATTAAAAAAAATGGAAGAAAACAGTAAATATGTAGAATTTCTATGCAAGCAGCAACGCTCCATGTTACCGTCAGGTGATTGCCAAGTGCCAACTTCACGACCTCATGTCTCGGTGAGCACTGACCCTAATTTTTTCTTATTAAAAAACACTTAAAAAAAATCTCTTTTTTTTCTAATTTTTTTTTTTTTATTCTTTTTTTTTTTTTTTTAATATTCGGGGTGCTGCGCAAATGAACATATATATACGTTTGGACTGTTTAAGGGTTAATGGTCCTAGCTGATGCTGCTTCCCACAATGTTGGTATGTTAATGGTCCTAGCTGATGCTGCTTCCCACAATGTTGGTATGTTAATGGTCCTAGCTGATGTTGCTTCCCACAATGTTGTATGCTAATTGGTCCCTAGCTGATTTTTGCTTCCCATATGCTGTTCTTCCACATTTTTTGTATTATTTTTTGTATTATGAAGATAGGGAAGCTGTGATTTCGTGTATAGGACAAGGAGGAATAACGTCTTGTAGGAGTGAGGAAGAGCCAGTTGTGAGAGTTTGTAAGTATTTGAGAGGCAGTAGTAAAATGAAAGGGGTCAGGCAGCCTGGATTGATGGGATAAAGAAAGAAATGTTAAAAGCAGGTGGGGATATAGTTTCTTGGAGGTGGTTGGTGCAAATATTTAATAAATTATGGAAGAGGGAAACGAGTACCAGCGATTGGCAGAGAGAGCAAGCATATTTCCTTTGTAAAAGGCAAAGGGGAAAAAAGAGAGTGCAAAAATTTAAAGGGGGAAAAGTCTGCTGAGTAATACTGGTAAAGTTGTATGGTAGAGTCTATTAATGTATAATACCATAATACCTATGCTATCTTATGCGCATCAAGCTTCTATTTCTAAAATTTTTTATCTTCCTTTCAACAAAAAAAATTAAAATTCACTTTATAAATACTACACTGAAAATAACATACAACAGATTTTTCTGTAAAAATAAAGTGTCAGTTGCAAATTATTTTATCATAAGGTTGATGAATCATATGTCTGGCTTGAGCATCTGGGAGGACTGCCAGCTCTGCAGTCTCCTAGGACATCCCCACTGGTTAGGTGTATGAAACCAAAACCAGACGCATTCATCTCTTTGTTTACATAACTATTGCTTCTCGTCTCTACTCCTCTCATCATTGATTCGTCTCTATCTTTGTTTATTCGTTTTACCTCATTTACTCCACCTCTTGCCCTGAATATATCCTTTGCTTATAATCTTAAGTTAATTTTTAAACCATGCCCATAATGCTACTGCAGACAAGGGCTTTTTTTTGGGCATGTACAAACCCAGTTACTATTACATATTTCTCTTTTACAACTATGTATCTTTCCAAAAAAAACATAAATACATTAAAGACTATTTTAAGTACAGTAATGAGTGTACTGTACAGTGACCCTCTTTTTTTTTCCCCCCCCGTCATCTGTTATTGCCGATTTCGATTTTGGCCTAATTTTTTTCTTATTCAATTTTTTTTGGCTTCCGTTTTCAATCAAATGTACAGAACCTGTCCCAGGCCCAGGACACAGACAAAGCCCCCTCCCCATCATTCCAGCCCGTGTTGAGTACTCAGTGAGTGAGATCATAATCCTGCCAGGTCATATAAACATTTCATAATATTATTAACACACTTGGCCCTTTCCAGTAGTATAAAAATATTAATACTGTTGTTTTTGCCACTTATTTTGTGTGTGCTGCTAAAAAAGACCCACCATGGCCCAAAGAAAAACTTCTATGCCAGCCCTTTGGTAAGACAAAGTGAGAACCATGATGTAATACAAGAAAAAGATTGTAGAAATATTTGTAAAGTGGTGGTAGCAGGGTAGAGGTGGAGAAGTGATGGTGGTAGAAAGAGGTGTAGTGATGGTGTAGAGGGCTGGTAGTGATGGTGGTAGAGGGTGTATTGGTTGTGATGGTGGTAGTGATGGTGGTAGAGGGTAGTAGTGGTTGTGATGGTGGTAGTGATTGTGATGCTGGTAAAGGGTAGTAGTGGTTGTAAATGGTGGTAGAAGGTGCCTTCTTCATGATTCAAGACAATTCTACTAACTCTTCCCAATGTTGTTGGAGTTATATAGGGCTACAGAAAACACTGCTGCCTCAGCTGCAGCCATCACCAACATTATGTACGGCTTATGCTCAGTGGCCCTTATACACCCAGCAACAACAACAGAACACCTGTCGTTTTACATACATTATGACTTACTTCATTCATTCTAGAGTATATGTCATGTTTCTATGTTATTAATATTGTTTATGTCATATTAATTGAATTGTGATAGATAAATAAGCCTTAGAGTTTATATTAAGTGTCATATTCTCCAACAATAAACTCGCCTCCCTCTTCCCTCCCGTCCGGTCTGCCATACACCAACAAGTCTTTTCAATTAAGGTAAGTGTGTTGTTAAATGTTCATTTATTACATTTTATTAGTGGCCCCCTTTTTTTATATATTTATTTGTCATTCGTTTTCGGCATGTAAATCTATATTTAAGCTAGGGAAGTACCCCTGATATGACTATGTACCTAGAGTTCCCTTATGGGAGGGAAATCCCCCTTCCAAACAATAAACCTCTCTTCCCTCTCCCTTCCTTCCCCTTCCTTCCATCCATCAAACAACATCCATTCAATAAAGGTAATGTTATGTGTAATGTTCTTTTGTGCATGTAAATGTATCTTTAAGGTAAAAAAAAAATTTTTGTTGATACTTCTGGGTATCTGGAACAGATTAATTCCATTTACATTATTTCTTACGGGGAAAATGGTTTTGGTTTTGGCCGATTTCAGTTTTGGCTGATGGCTCTGGAACGGATTAAACACGAAAACCAAGGGTCCACTGTATGTGCATTTTATCGCTCTGGGACGCTTTAAATGCCATAGTATATTACGTGTGGGTGGTGTGGCCTGGCTGGCTACCATACCTTACACACCTGACTTCTTACAAATAAATACGTTCTACTCGCCTCTCACCCTACATTAAGACTACAAATACGTATTTTAAGGTAAATAATGAGTGTAGAATTTTGTGTATTTTCTTTTTATTGCTTTTAAATAATACTGGTTTATTGCTAACTTCTTAATATATGTTAGCATAAACTTATCTGGCATTTATACGCATTTTTTTTTTTTCAACAAACCGGCCGTATCCCACCGAGGCAGGGTGGCCCAAAAAGAAAACAAAAGTTTCTCATTTTAAATTTAGTATCTATACAGGAGAAGGGGTTTACAAGCCCTTGCTCCCGGCATTTTAAGTCACCTTCTTACCACAAACGCATGGCTTACGAGGAAGAATTGTGTTCCACTTCCCACGGAGATAGAGGAGATACACAAGAATAAAACTAGAAAGAAAAATAGAAGAAAAACACCACAGGGTACGGGGGAAGGATAGGTGGATTTATCTTTTGTTAGATTTTTGTTTTGTATTGATGTGGTGAGTTCCTGTATGTTTGGTACAGTTTAGTAAGGAAATATAGCTTTTGTTTTTACTTTGTTGGCATGTACAGAGTGTATGTTAACTGATTACCCTTTCTACGTGCAACTTGACCCAGTAATCCTGCATTATACTCTAATAATTTTTACCTAGTATAAGAGTGAAAAAAAAAACAATTGAATGGGTGGTAAATTTGATAGTGTCTGCAACATAATCCTAATTTTCCCAACATTCTTCGCTTAACCATATTTTTTTTATAAGCACCGATTTTTCACAAACGTATCTTGGACAGTTTATCAGATTTCGGCTTAAGGGATTTCAGATTTAATTGATAAAATTCATTGTCCAAACAGAGTCTTTAAAAGCCAGAAGTTTTTATTATTACAGTTCCAGGGTTAATTGATTTTGAATTTAACAAGTTTCATTGTTTCAAATACTGTCCAGTATTGTTACGGTCCACTGGGTAAATTGATTTCACATTTATTATACAAAATTTCTTAAATCCAGATTTGCTTGTTACTGTTACAGTTCGGTGGATAAATTTATTTAAATCAAGATTGTTTGTCATTGTTTTGAACGTGGAAAAAATCTCGTCATTCAGATTTAACGAACAACTGTACTCGTATTTCCTCCATTTAAATCAAGGTTTCACTCACTGAATATTGTCCGACCTTTCTGATTTTTTGCATATATACATGTACCAACATTTCAATATGTAACATATGTTGGACAGCCTTGTGGAGAATGACATGTGTAACAGTGATGGTTTTATGTAGAAAGACATCTCCAACATTTAATTTTTTAGGCCATCCTAGTTCTGTAGATTGTATATGTTTCTGTAAACCTATTTGGTTGTTGTGTGTTGATCAGTCTGCAGAGCTTGAGGAGTGGATGGATGATAACGGAGGCTGGGAGGACGAGGCTGAGGAGGAGGCAGACCTGGATGCAGTGTTGCGCGAGAAGAGGCAGTTTGAAAGAGAACGACGGAGACAGGAACAGCAGAGACGCAAGGCTGAGAAGGAAGCTGCACGCTGCACTAAACTATCTGCTTCCAAGATTGCCACTAAGCTGTCATAGGGAACATATACACTATAGTGTGTTTTTATGTTAATCTTATTTACTTGAAGACCTTTTCATATGTTTCAAGTTCATGTGTGTTTCTTTTTCTGAGTGCCTGTGATTCTCTTCATTATTTTAGTATTTTGATAAAATTTATAGTGCAGAGTATAGTACTTTAAGCTAAGATGTAATTTTATGTAGTTCTATAAAGGTAATGTACATGCAGTGTTGTGATACAAATTTTATATAGAAAATAATAGGATGTTTCAGATATAATTTTATATATAATGAATCATGTTAAATGATTATTTTTTGTTATATACTGAATTATCATTTAAATCTTCTGTTAAGGTGATGTATCCTTGATCTCATTCTCAAAGGTAAGGTGCAAGAGAAATTTTTATGTTATAAGCTCTAGTACTACATATTAAGGATATTTTTTTCATACAAGACTAATTCCGTCATGTACTCAAGTGTTATCTCATGCTCCAGTGGCTCACTCTCTCATGACACACACACATACATACAATAGCCCACAGTGGCTGGCAAAATTGTGGAGAAGTATTGAATAGTGTTGTCTATAGATCGTAAACTGAGGTAAATGAAGATGCTTAGGACAGTGAGCCTTTATAAAACAATGTTTTGCTATATGTAAGCTTTATGAAGTCCTGAGGTGCACACAACCCTGTCACACCAGCTGAGAAGAGGGGTTGGAGGTAGTGGCAGAAGGAGCTGTCCATAATGTTGCTAGGGCAGAAACTGTCCATAATGTTGCTAGGGCAAGAACTGTCCATAATGTTGCTAGGGCAGGAACTAAACATAATGTTGCTAGGGCAGGAGTGAGTTCATAATGTTGCTAGGGCAGGAGTGAGTCCATAATGCTGCTAGGGCAGGAGTGAGTCCATAATGCTGCTAGGGCAGGAGTGAGTCCATAATGCTGCTAGGGCAGGAGTGAGTCCATAATGTTGCTAGGGCAGGAGTGAGTCCATAATGCTGCTAGGGCAGGAGTGAGTTCATAATGTTGCTAGGGCAGGAGTGAGTCCATAATGCTGCTAGGGCAGATGTGGGTCCACGTGTTTCACATTTAACCTTTTTTGTTGAATATATAAATTTTTTTCTCTTAAGACACACTACACTAAGGCAAAGCAAAATTCAACATGTTTTGGTGAATATTCCCTAGTGAATGTATACAAAAGTTGAATTTTCAGATTTCTTTATAAAAAATATGCACTGATTACATTTATTCATAATTATACATAAATTTGTGCATGCTAATTTGAGAATTATCAGGAAGGTGCAACAATTTTTTTTTTTTTTTATTTTTAACAAGTCAGCCGTCTCCCACCAAAGCAAAGTGACCCAAAAAGAAAGAAAATTCCCAGAGAGAAAAGACTTTCATCATTCAACACTTTCACCTCACTCACACATAATCACTGTTTTTGCAGAGGTGCTCAGAATACAACAGTTTAGAAGCATATACGTATAAAGATACACAACATATCCCTCCAAACTGCTAATATCCCGAAACCCCTCCTTTAGAGTGCAGGCATTGTACTTCCCATTTCCAGGACTCAAGTCCGGCTATATAAAAATAACCGGTTTCCCTGAATCCCTTCACTAAATATTACCCTGCTCACACTCCAACAGATCGTCAGGTCCCAAATACCATTCGTCTCCAATCACTCCTATCTAACACGCTCATGCACGCTTGCTGGAAGTCCAAGCCCCTCGCCCACAAAACCTCCTTTACCCCCTCCCTCCAACCTTTTCAAGGACGACCCCCTACCCTGCCTTCCTTCCCTTACAGATTCATACGCTCTCCATGTCATTCTACTTTGATCCATTCTCTCTAAATGACCAAACCACCTCAACAACCCTCTTCAGCCTTCTGACTAATACTTTTATTAACTCCACACCTCCTAATTTCCACACTCCAAATTCTCTGCATAATATTTACACCACACATTGCCCTTAGACAGGACATTTCCACTGCCTCCAACCGTCTCCTCGCTGCAGCATTTACAACCCAAGCTTCACACCCATATATATAAATATATATATATATATTTTTTTTTTTTCAACAAACCGGCCGTATCCCACCGAGGCAGGGTGGCCCAAAAAGAAAAACAAAAGTTTCTCTTTTTTAAATTTAGTAATTTATACAGGAGAAGGGGTTACTAACCCCTTGCTCCCGACATTTTAGTCGCCTCTTACAACACGCATGGCTTACGGAGGAAGAATTCTGTTCCACTTCCCCATGGAGAATAAATATATATATGTTTATTTATTTAATGGCCATCTCCCATCAAGGCAGAGTGACCCAAGGAAGAAAACACATTCACTATCATTCACTTAATCGCCGTCTTTTCAGAAGTGTGCTGACATCACAATCAGAGTATCCTCCAGTTGCAGTATCCCCACTCTTTCAGAGTGCAGGCACTGCCCTTCCCACCTCCAGGAGTGCAGTACATATCTCAGAGAGATCTCTGTTCAGGTTCCATAAACCACTAGTAGGAATAACAACCTGTCAGTATAAACTCTTAAATACTAGTGATAATCTCCAAGATAACGTTTTGCCAGTTAGTTATCTGTATATATTCTGCGCTCCCTTCCCTGACTAGATCGTTCAGTGCCCAAGCCTCAAGCATCATGTAGCTGCCGATCTCAGTTCCATGTAGGTTTCTCAACATAAGATGGAAGAAGCACTGCAGCAGGGCTACTGACCTATGCTAGACAAGTCGAAGTCACCTACCGGCTTAAGCTACTGGCCAAAGTCAGTCAGGTGCAAGTCACATCCACTTTAGAAGGATGGAGCACTGCATCAGACCCACTAGCACAAGCCAGTCAGGTCCAGCTCACACCCACTCTTGTATTTGTGTAGCCTGTTTTTAAAACTACACATGGTTTTAGCTTCAGTGATGATACTCAAGAGTTTGTTCCACTGATCCACAACTCTATTGCCAAACCAGTGCTTTCCTATATCCTTTCTGAACCTAAATTTTTCCGACTTGAAATCATTGCTGTGAATCCTGAGGAGTCTTGGTTAGATACTTTTAGCACGTTATTTACATCTTCCATATTTATTCTTGTTTTCCATTTATGCACCTCACTCATATTCCCTCTAATTCTACGCCTTTCTAGAGAGTACAGATTCAGGGGCCCTGAATCTATCCTCATAGGAAAGAGTTCTGATATATGGGATCAACTTCGTCATCCTCCTTTGTACGTTTTCCAGTGCATTTATATCGATTCTGTAATACAGTGACCAGAACTGTGAGGCCTAACCAAAGATATATAGAGTTGAAAAACAACCTGAGGACTCCTCTTATTTATACTTCTTGATATGAAGCCAAGGATTTTGTTCACTGTGTTGTAAACATGAATACACTGTTGTTTTGGTTTTAGATTACTCTTTTTATGTGGACATTATACTTGCTGCTCCACAATGGATGACAGTGATGGACACTGTTTCACATGGCATACAGGCCAGATTTAACCAGAATGGCTTATTCAGTGGGCTTTGCTGAATAAACAGTGGATTTAAGTGATGTGCACTTGATGTGAATGTTGTTGATGCTTTTATGGTTCAGACATCACTTAAACATGCTCTTAAAAGGTTACTAATATTCTGGTTGGAAAAGGACTAGATATATCCCTAGTGTTTCTCCCAGTTTTTCATTTCAAACCACTTCTTAGTATTTCTTGAATGACCTGCTTCCACTGTTGGAATACTTAGCACCTACCCAATACACAAGCTGCCTCTTTTGAACAGATTATGGACAGTTATAGGCTAAAATCAATTCAGGATTTAATTGTATACTTGAACAGATATACGTACCTCTCTGCCAGTCAAGATCCTGGTGGTATAACTTTCATGAAGGAATTTAAGAACCTCAGTCAATTACCAAGGGACATTCAGCCAGCTTACTCACTGTTGATTTCTCTCCAGGAAATATCTAATGTTTATTCACCTAAGGAAACTGAAAATTAATGCTTTATCATTGCCAAAGTTTCTCTGTTTCAGTACCAAGTGTCATGGCCTTGTCCCAGAAGTGGCCAGACATTACGTTCTCCATAAAAATAACCCCAACATTCCCTTCAATGCAGGTTTTACTACATTTGCACAAGGATACAGAAGCTAGGTTGTTTTTCAGCTTGTTTCAGAAGAAAGATAGTGTTCAGTCTTGTAGTGCTTTAAGTCCTTTTGCTGGGAATGTTAAGGTCAGCATTTCTGCTAATGCCCCTTTTATGGATGGTGACAGCCATAGTTAATCAATGGACTGAGTATTGGTAAGGGCCTACTTCATTAGTTTCCGACCTCTCCCTCTGAAGATTCCTCATGGCACCCCCATCATATATTCTGATCTCTCTTTTATTTCATCAGTAAAACAAGGAAGCATCAACTTGGGCTTAAACCTTCATCAGCCATCAGTGATGCTTCTTCCCCAAGGCTACCGTTCCATTTAGGACAAGGAACCCACTCGTTCTACATATTCTCAGTGTGGTTCTTCATGTTGTCAAATTTGCAAAACACTGGTCCATGGTTCCTAAAGCTTCCCAAGGAGCTTTACTCTAGAAATGATAAGAATACCAAATTAGGAGATTGATTCGGTTCTTTTTTTAGAACTTAGAGAATCTTCCACCCCAGGTACTTAGAAGAGGAATGTGGCATCATTAGAAATGTCTTTGCCATGCTACACAATTCTTTCCATTTCATTCTGAATGCCGAGAATGCTTTCAGCATCCAAAGAGGAAATGCTTTCAATATCCAAAGAGGATAATGATTGTGCCAGATGGCACACAGACAATAAAGGCAGGTAGAATGGATGTCACAGTCATAATTTCCAAAACTGTTAGAAACTTCACCACACCAGGACACAGCAGCCAGTAAAACATTACTGCCAGAGTATGCAACATTCTCTATGATGGTTGTGACAAACTGCATTGGTGAAACTTCATATGAACTAAAAACCAGAGTTCAGGAGCACCAATACACTTGTAGGATACATAACACCAACACTAACATTAATGCTTCATGGCATGGCACGATGCCACACTCATCAAAAACAACCACTGGCTCACATCATACTAAAATGATGTTCTTTACAGTAGGGGTTGGGGCAAATATGCTGACCAGAAACTACATGAGTTCAGCAACATTGTCCAGTGTATTTCTTGCAGTACTCCACTGACACAAAATTCATCAAACTCCAGGGATTTCACTCACCTCAGCTATTTCTTCAGTCTCATGAGTATATGTACATGCATGCTCTTTGTATCCTCTTTATGACTAGATAAAGATCTTACCAGATGGAAATGTTGTTCTAATAAAAGCTTGCTCTGTAATGTGTCTTTTCTTAATTATTGTTAGCAGCATGCCATTTCCAAATTGTGGAGAAACATTAGCTACACAACACAAGTCATCATGGCTTTAGAGCAGGAAGATCTTGCTTATTGCAACTATGGTGGAACCTCGGCTTATGCACGCCCCATCATGCAAACTTTTCAGGATACGAACCGTTGTTCGGTTGATTTTTTGCTTCTGGATACGAATGAAATTTCAGGATGTGTACTTCCTCTTCAAGGGAGGCTCTTAATATATATAAATAAATAAAATATTTATTTCTTTGCAAAGGCTATAATGTGTGTTTACATATCATAATATGATTGGAGCAAAGAAAGCCACTAATCATGCAGAGGCATTTCGGGCAGACTTAACCTAATACGTGTACTTATAGACTACTTAAGTCTAGACAGGTGACAAGTAGTGGCCACCAATGTTTTGCTGATGGTGGCACCAACTACTGGCAGCTTTTTGAAGCTTCTCCTTACTGTTGTTGTTATTATTATTACTATTAAAATGTATTATTATTATTGTAATAGTTATTATTATTCTTTCAACACACCGGCCGTATCCCACCAAGGCAGGGTGGCCCAAAAAGAAAAACGAAAGTTTCTCTTTTAAATTTAGTAATTTATATGGGAGAAGGGGTTACTAGCCCCTTGCTCCCGGCATTTTAGTCGCCTCTTACAACACGCATGGCTTATGGAGGAAGAATTCTGTTCCACTTCCCCATGGAGATAAGAGGAAATAAACAAGAACAAGAACTAGAAAGAAAATAGAAGAATACCCAGAGGGTTGTGTATATATATATGCTTGTACATGTATGTGTAGTGTGACCTAAGTGCAAGTAGAAGTAGCAAGACATACCTGAAATCTTGCATGTTTATGAGAGACAAGACACCAGCAATTCTACCATCATGTAAAACAATTACAGGTTTTCGTTGTACACTCACTTGGCAGGACGGTAGTACCTCCCTGGGCGGTTGCTGTTTACCAACCTACTACCTAGGAGTTATTATTATAATAATTATTATTATTATTGTTATAATAATTATTATTACTATTATTATTAGTAGTAGTATGTATGTGGTGAGGGGCTCTTGATCTAGGGAATTGGATCTGTGTTCCAGTTCCCTAAATTAAGCCTGAATACCTTCCATCCCCTCCCACAAGTGCTTCCCCATTATGATAATAATATATGTATAATAATAATATAATAATAATGTACTATAATAATATAATAATAGATGGCTTCGAAAGGCCATCACTAGATGGCAGTGAATACCACAACAATATGGGAGCGGTTATGGCCGCCACCACTTGTCACATAATGACATATTTTATTCATTCTAGAGTATATATCGGGTTTCTGTGTTATTTATATTGTTTATTAGTTGACATTAGAGTCATATTGAAGGAGAATTTTGTCCTGTCTCCAAACAATAAACTTTCCTCCGCCTCCAGCACCACTACATAGCCACATGCGTAATGACATATTTTATTCAGTCTAGAGTATATATCAGGTTTCTGTTATTTATATTATTTATTATGTTACATTAGATCAATTGTGATAGATAAATAAGCCGTAGAGTTGATAGTGGCGTTATATTGAAGTGTATTTTTCCTTCTTCTGAGAGCAGGAATTCTGCCAGAACGGATTAATGGCTTTTCAATTAATTTAAATGAGGAAAATTGACTCAGCATATGAACAAATCAGGATACGAACAACGTCATGGAACGGATTAAGTTCATAAGCCGAGATTTCACTGTACGTATTAGATCATTGATAAAATTGCAGAAGCCTGGAAAGGAAGACAGAATACTGATGCTATCCACAGGGATTTTGTAAAGGCTTTAACATTCAGTAATTGCTCATAAAATGAGGCTAGCAAATATAACAAGAAAAGTAGGGAAATAGTTTTTCAGATTTCTGATAAACAGATCACAAAGAATGGTAGTAAACAAAATAAAATAAAATCCTGTATTAGCAAAGTAAGAAAGAGTTCAGTTCCCCAAGGCACTATTTTATCACCATTACAATTTCTTATCCTCATAGTAGACATAGACAAGAACTCTAACCACGTCTTTGTATCTTTTGCAGGCTACACGAAAATAAGAATGAAAGTCACTTCAGTAGAAGACAGAAAAATTATGAACAGGTATCAGCAAATATCTTCAGTGGGCAGATGAAAACAACATGATGTTCAGTGGGGACAAATTTTAATTGCTTAGGTATGGGAAGAAGGAAGAATTCAGATGAGCACAGTACATATACAAAACACAAGCAGCCCATCATGTGGAACATAAGGAATAATTATGTTAGGTCTGACATTTAGAGTCAAATGCAGCAAAGGCCAGGAAAGTGACAGGGTTGATTATAAGAGCTGTCACAATAGGAGCAGAATTGCCATTGATGTTACTTGCAAATTGGTGGTTCTCGTACAACGAGTATTCTTTGCTCACAATGCCTTTCAAGGCAGGAGAGAGAACAGAGTTGGAAAATACAGAGTTTGTTTACCACCTGCACAAAATTGATAACACATCTGAACTGTTTGGACTCTTGAAACACTTGGTAGGTACATTGTAACCCTAGGGTGGAAGTAGGTTATGCCCAAGAGTTGGGCTAGAGGTTAGCTGTTGGGTAGAAGATAGTATCTGTACCAAGGTTAAATGGTGCCTCTGTGTCAGACAAGTACTGTTATATTAAAAGTATCCATGACTGACAAGTTGGTAAATAAACATATGCAACACCCGGGTACTGTATCTTTTTTATGAAAACTTATTTTGCCAACCAGTGTATTTTTTTTTAATTAATACAGAGATTATACTGGACAGTGGAAGATAAGGTGATCAGTCCCTCAGCCTCTGTACCATGAAATAGTGGCACTTGGATACCTTCTACAACTCCATTGCTAATCTCTGTCCAAACTTTTGGTCATGACCTACTTCCATTAACAAGTTATGCTCATCTATGATGATACCTTCAGCTACCATATCTCTCTACTGTCTTCAATATATGTGGCCCTTCTGCCTCTGCTTCAGATTGATCAAGTGTTCAGATTGAACACTTATCAAAACTGAAGAACTGATTATCTCATCTTTCATTGTCTCCAGTATAGTCTCTACTGAACTGAAAAAGCCACTGGTTAGCAAAAAAATATTGTCATAATAAAGTTACTTAGGTGTTGTACATGTGTCGAGAGTTAAATTAGGGGTTATAGGTAGTTTAGAACCATGCTTCCCATCCTCTCCCATCAGTTTGATGTTCTTCAACGTGTATCACATCTTTTGAGAGGAGCTCTAAATGAGTTTTAATAGCTTCATCACATCATGTTCTGATCTCTTGTACATGATTGAAACTATCCCTTGGAATCCAGGAAAGTTGTTTATGCATTCAGGTCAAAGTTCTTCCTATACACATTTCATTGTGGCAGTGAATTCTGAGAATATATGATTGTTAGCAATGGGGTCTGTGATGTTATATTTTGCTCAGAACTCCCTAATTGTTGGTTTTCCCCTCACCATTTGTGTCTTTGATGAGCTGAGAGAAGGCTCTTGTATAAAAAGCCTTAGAAGTTTCTAAAAAAAAACTTTAACCCTTTGAGGGTCGACAGGTCCTCTCAGAGACTCGTTCTCAGGGTCGGCCAAATTTCCAAAAAAAAAAAAAATTATTTTTTCTTATGAAAAAAATAGTTTTTTTTTTTTGTTTCTAAATATTATAGGCTAAACAAAAAATTTTCACCATCAATACTTACGGAGATATGGAGGCGTGAAGTTGATGAAAAAGGGGGACAATGTGGCAACATTGCTGACTGCCATCTCCTGGTATTCTTTTATTTACTTTCTTATGTACTAATTTCTATTATTTTTTAATTTTTCTTTTTCCAAGTAACTTTTATGGCCTGTGAGACCAATATGATCAGTATTTTGTAAGTTTTTTCTTTTTCAATACTACACAATAAGGGCATAAACACTGTTGTCATTGTTTTGTTTATAAAAAATATTTACACAAACAAATGATATGAAATGTTGTTTATTACTATTTTTCTATATTTTATATACACATATACAGCCACAGGGAATGTTTCTAGAAGTTCTGCAGCCTGTGGAAGTCTTTGAAACATGTTGTCATGCACAGTGGTGTTTTACACTCCTCACACATAAAACGAGTGTCTCTGCGTTGTTGTGGGCGTTTTTTTGTATGTGCACAGACGTAACACCTCTTCTGAGCCTTTTTCTTGAAAGCAGTAGCAGGCAGGTGACTTATTTTGCAGAAACAAGCACCAAAAACAGTGATAATGAGGAATGTACCGAATGCATCCTTAGATGCGCGTACACTGGCTGGCTTGTAAACACTGGCACACACGGGGCAGTTCAGGCCACACGTGGACACGTCTCGTACGAATCGCATCGCATACCTGGTTTTGTAACGGGAACCGAGGCAAATTTTTGGCGATATAATGCATCGGCTACTGGATTTATTGGATACCAATAGCATCGCGAACCGGGGGTCCACTGTATTATGAAATATTTCATATGAACAAGTGAGGGGACCGTCACTCACTGGTAAACAATGGCACACTGGCTGGGAAGGTAGGCCGAGGTGGCTCAGAGCGTGAATACGCGTCCCAGATGAAGGACGATTAGCGAGTCAACTGACCATTTGCGAGCCAATGTTTGGATGAAAATAATGCAACGATTTCCAAAAAGAACGACTATCGAGCCAGACGATTATTGAGGGACCACTGTATGTAAAAAAACGTGGATCTTTTTTTTTTTTTTTTTTAAATTTGAAAATATGTAAAAAAACTTAGATCTACGTTTTTTATTGTTATTACGTATTATTATTATTATTATTATTATCACACTGGCCGATTCCCACCAAGGCAGGGTGGCCCGAAAAAGAAAAACTTTCACCATCATTCACTCCATCACTGTCTTGCCAGAAGGGTGCTTTACACTACAGTTTTTAAACTGCAACATTAACACCCCTCCTTCAGAGTGCAGGCACTGTACTTCTCATCTCCAGGACTCAAGTCCGTCCTGCCGGTTTCCCTGAACCCCTTCGTAAATGTTACTTTGCTCACACTCCAACAGCACGTCAAGTATTAAAAACCATTTGTCTCCATTCACTCCTATCAAACACGCTCACGCATGCCTGCTAGAAGTCTAAGCCCCTCGCACACAAAACCTCCTTTACCCCCTCCCTCCAACCTTTCCTAGGCCGACCCCTACCCTGCCTTCCTTCCACTACAGACTGATACACTCTTGAAGTCACTCTGTTTTGCTCCATTCTCTCTACATGTCCGAACCACCTCAACAACCTTTCCTCAGCCCTCTGGACAACAGTTTTGGTAATCCCGCACCTCCTCCTAACTTCACACCACACATTGCCCTCAGACATGACATCTCCACTGCCTCCAGCCTTCTCCTTGCTGCAACATTCATCACCCATGCTTCACACCCATATAAGAGAGTTGGTAAAACTATACTCTCATACATTCCCCTCTTTGCCTCCAAGGACAAAGTTCTTTGTCTCCACAGACTCCTAAGTGCACCACTCACCCTTTTCCCCTCATCAATTCTATGATTCACCTCATCTTTCATAGACCCATCCACTGACACGTCCACTCCCAAATATCTGAATACATTCACCTCCTCCATACTCTCTCCCTCCAATCTTTCATCACCTAATCTTTTTGTTATCCTCATAACCTTACTCTTTCCTGTATTCACTTTTAATTTTCTTCTTTTGCACACCCTACCAAATTCATCACCAATCTCTGCAACTTCTCTTCAGAATCTCCCAAGAGCACAGTGTCATCAACAAAGAGCAACTGTGACAACTCCCACTTTATGTGTGATTCTTTATCTTTTAACTCCACGCCTTTTGCCAAGACCCTCGCATTTACTTCTCTTACAACCCCATCTATAATATATTAAACAACCACGGTGACATCACACATCCTTGTCTAAGGCCTACTTTTACTGGGAAATAATTTCCCTCTTTTCTACATACTCTAAGTTGAGCCTCACTATCCTCGTAAAAACTCTTCACTGCTTTCAGTAACCTACCTCCTACACCATACACCTGCAACATCTGCCACATTGCCCCCTATCCACCCTGTCATACGCCTTTTCCAAATCCATAAATGCCACAAAGACCTCTTTAGCCTTATCTAAATACTGTTCACTTATATGTTTCACTGTAAACACCTGGTCCACACACCCCCTACCTTTCCTAAAGTCTCCTTGTTCATCTGCTATCCTATTCTCCGTCTTACTCTTAATTCTTTCAATAATAACTCTACCATACACTTTACCAGATATACTCAACAGACTTATCCCCCTATAATTTTTGCACTCTCTTTTATCCCCTTTGCCTTTATACAAAGGAACTATGCATGCTATCTGCCAATCCCTAGGTACCTTACCCTCTTCCATACATTTATTAAATAATTGCAACCAACCACTCCAAAATATATCCCCACCTGCTTTTAACATTTATATCTTTACCCCATCAATCCCAGCTGCCTTACCCCCTTTCATTTTACCTACTCTCACGAACTTCCTCCCACACTCACAACTGGCTCTTCCTCACTCCTACAAGTGTTATTCCTCCTTGCCCTATACACGAAATCACAGCTTCCCTATCTTCATCATCATTTAACAAATCCTCAAAATATTCCCTCATCTTTCCAATACCTCTAATTTCTCCATTTAATAACTCTCCTCTTCTTTTTTTAACTGACAAATTCCATTTGTTTCTAAGGTTTTCCTTAATTTGTTAATCTCACTCCAAAACTTTTTCTTTTTTCAACAAAATTTGTTGATAACATCTCACCCACTCTCTCATTTGCTCTCTTTTTACATTGCTTCCCACTCTCTTAACTCTCTCTTTTTTCCCCATATTACTCTTCCCCCCTTTGCATCACTTCTACTTTGAAAAAAACTTCTCATATGCTAACTTTTTCTCCCTTACTCCCTTCTTTACATCATCATTCCCCACCAATCACTCCTCTTCCCTCCTGCACCCACTTTCCTGTAACCAAAAAACTTCTGCTGAACACTCTAACACTACATTTTTAAACCTACCCCATACCTCTTCGACCCCATTGCCTATGCTCTCATTAGCCCATCTATCCTCCAATAGCTGTTTATATCTTTCCCTAACTGCCTCCTCTTTTAGTTTATAAACCTTCACCTCTCTCTTCCCTGATGCTTCTTTCTCCTTGTATCCCATCTACCTTTTACTCTCAGTGTAGCTACAACTAGAAAGTGATCCAAAGTCTACTCAACAGTCTTTTATCTACCAATACATAATCCAACAAACTACTGTCATTTCGCCCTACATCATATCTTGTTTTACTTATTTACCTCTTTTTCTTAAAATATGTGTTACCTGTAATTTAACCCCTTTCTATACAAAGTTCAATCAAAGGGCTCCCATTATCACACCTGGCACCCCAAACTTACCTACCACACCCTCTCTAAAAGTTTCCCCTACTTTAGCTTTCCCAGATCCCCTACCACAATTACTCTCTCACTTGGTTCAAGGCTCCTATACATTCACTTAACATCTCCCAAAATCTCTCTCTCTCCTCTACATTCCTCTCTTCTCCAGGTGCATACAAGCTTATTATGACCCACTTTTCACATCAACCTTTTAACTTTAATCCACATAATTCTTAAATTTACACATTCATATTCTCTCTTCTCCTTCCATAACTGATCCTTCAACATTACTGCTACCCCTTCCTTTGCTCTAACTCTCTCAGATACTTCAGATTTAATCCCATTTATTTCACCCCACCGAAACTCCCCTATCTCCTTCAGCTTTGTTTCGCTTAGGGCCAGGACATCCAACTTCTTTTCATTCATAACATCAGCAATCATCTGTTTCTTGTCATCCGCACTACATCCACGCACATTCAAGCATCCCAGTTTTATAAAGTTATATTTGAAAATATGTAAAAAAACTTAGATCTACTTTTGGAGCACTATGAATGTGAACGTAGATCTGTTTGGACAGCTTAAGGGTTAAAGTATGGGGATGGCATGGAGCATTATCCAGGAGGACCTCTTCAAGGGGGGCTCCTTGGCGTGGTGAAGAGGCTCTTGGTCTGAGGAATTAGACCTATCGGTCTTCTTCCTCAGACCGAACCTAATTACCCCCCAATCTCCCCTCCCCTATCCCATCCTCCCCTTTTTCCTTTCCTCCTCCTCCTCCCCACTCCTCCCTTTTGCCCTTCCTCTTTTTGTCCTTTGGGATTTCTCCCACAGGCGCGCTAGTTCCTGGGTAGGAGAAAGGACACCGGGGTCCATCCCATTCCTTTGAGGTTTCTTGGCGGTGGGTAGTTTGCCGTGGAATCTGGATTGCCTAGGGATGTCCCGATCCCTCTCCGGTATCCCGGAGTAGCTTTGGGTGTCTTTGGGCAAACGGGTGTAGCTCTGGAAGCCACCTTTCGGATTCCGGGGGGGTGGCTGAAGGGGGTATGCTTTGTGGCGGATATCCGGCCCCCCTCTCTTTTGTCCACCGAGGTAGCTCGGCAGATGTGAGGTTGCTATCCCAGATTGCTGGTTTACTGGCATGAAGGGTAGGGTATGCAGGGGTTTTCCATGCTGCATCTGCGCTACTAGCGGTGTCGAGCCCTCTTGGCGCGGAGGGGAGTTTCGGCCCTTTCACCCCTCCTAGGAACTATCCCTCCCCGGTCCCCCTTTTTTTTTTTCTTTTTTTATTTTTATTTTCTTTTCTTCTTTCTTTTTTTTTCTTAAAAACAAAAAGAAAGAAGTAACCTAACCATGGCAGCCCTAGTCCATGAACCGGGTTACCCCCCGGGCCCCTTCTTGATCCCGCACCCCGTTCTGACCCCGCCTCGTCTTTGGACCACCTTCAACATTCCTCATGCCTTTCTGTACCTATTCCCGGGTGCTGTTTCCTCACCCGCTTCAGGTACTGGGGCCCTCGACTGACTCCTTCGATTTATCAGACCTTCGCTCTCCTCTGACTATGCTTCCGGCCTCTCCCTCTACGGTGCGGCAATTTTCAAATCGCCGACCGTTCCCACGTGGACCAACTCTGGTCCCACGCCTAAACGTCAACGACAATTACCTGTGATGTACTTCTCCACCTTCACCTTCTCGTTCTTCTCAGAAACGATCGACACGTCCTTCACTACCTTTCCACGCTCAGTTTCAGACTGAACAGTGGACTAAATTCTTCACATTTACGACCAACTTCCTCTACTGCCTATCTTTCTGACCATAGTATTGGCAAGGCACTCTACGCCAGGGTTGGTAAAGATATTTTTTTTCATGCTCTTAAGAGGGGTACGCGCATCATTACCGTACAGAATGCTACCCAGGCTCGTGAGCTCTCTCGTCTTCCCATATAGATACTGTTCCTGCCCACCCTTGAAAAACTCATTCCCTCAATTCTTGTAGTGGTACCGTTTTTTCTGCCCCATACCATAGTTCAACAAAATTTCCAGACATGTGGCACCAAACATTCTAAAAACAGCTGGAACTCCAAGATCTCCCAATCCTAAAGGGTAGACACTTACGTTCTTCCTGCCCGGGGGCGGAGACGATACCCTAGCAATGTGGCTCGTTTTAACTTTTGACAGCCGAGAACCCCATCCTCCGTTTATATAGCGGGACATCGGTTACAAGTTCGAAAGGTGATCCCTACACCACAACAGTGTAGAAATTGCTGGCGATTTGGCCATCCAGCGAAATATTGCAGATCTATCCCGAATGCCCAGTCTGTGGTGCCGATGACCATTCTATACGTCTTGCAATCGATCTCCCTCTTGCCTTAACTGTCATGAAGGCTCACCCTTCGTACTCTCGCCGTTGTCAGGTCTATTTAAACGAGCGGGAAATCCGTTACCTCAAAGAGACAGAAGGTCTCCCTTATGCCATGGCAGTTTCTCATCTCCGCCCCCAAAGGGAGACTCCCCGTGTTTCTTATTCCCGTGTTTCAAACGTCCCCCCAACTTCTGGTACCCCATCTTTACACCCACCTCTGTTGGTTACCTCTCCCATAATCACCCCTGTATCTAATCCTTTTGCTGTCCTCGGCTCAGACGTCCCTACTTAAAAGCCTCATCAAAATCTCGCTTCTTCGAGTTCTCTCTTACAAGCCTCAGTATCGACGAGACCTCGTACGAAAACCTCTTCCCAATCGTCCCTCTATTCTCAAAGTCAAAAAAAAGGTCCGGTAACACCTCCTACCCATCTTCCACCTCCTCATTTTAACCTCCCTGTCTCTGTCCCTAGTTCTTCCCTTCTCACTGGCTCAGTTACAAGGGGCAAGGTTCACCCCCCTCCTCGTAATGTACCTTCCTCCTGTTCCCTCCCAAGTTTCTTCCTCTTCTGCCACCTCCCAGGTTCCTGTCTCTTCTGTCCCCTGCCACACTTCTCCAGTTCCCTCCACCCTTTCGCCCCCCCTAACCTTGGTACAGTCCAATACAGTTCCAATTTTTACTCATCCTCCCCCTACCATTCCCAATATTGTCCCCCCTATACGACATCTCTGAATTCCGAAACACTTGAAGCAATCTCTGAATATATTGCAGAGACCAAACCATCAATGGAAACATGATCCACCTTCCGCTCTTCCTCTCTCCTCTGCTCCATCTGCGCAACTCCTTTCTTCACAGCGCACCGTTCCTTCGCTGCTTGAACTTTTTCCACTGCCTCCGCATGTGGATTTTTTCAAACCCCTTCTAGTCCGTGGGAAAACCCTTACCTGCGGATTTCAAGTATCCTTATCATTGCCAATCATGGCCTTTTTACAGTGGAATATACGCGGCCTCAGGGGTAATCGGGGGGAGCTTCAGATGTTACTCTCCCAGTTTGCCCCTTTTGGTGTTTGCTTACAGGAACCAAAATTACACTCTGCTGTTATTTCTCACATCTCAGGCTATAATTTATTGTATTCTTCAGATCCTTTTCCTGATGGGACTTTAATGAAAGTGCCCTTCTTCTCCGCACTGATATTCCTTTACCATCAGCTATTTGTTCATACTTCGCTCATTACACAGCAGCCCGATCCATTTACATAGGTGGTATACGCTCTGTTCTTTATATCCTCTCCTTCCCTCGGGCATTATCTATTCCGGATTTTGCCTTCCTTTGTTTCGTCATTACCGCCACCGATTCTGTTACTTGGTGATTTAATGCCCACCATTTCCTTGGGGAGGGTCTCACTGTGATTCCCTGGAATTCAGTTAGAGGCTTTTCTTGCCACCCACCCCCTCCATGTTTTAAATACAGGTAACACACCCATTTGATCCTCGGACTCATACTCTCTCTTGCATCGATCTCTCAGTTTGTTCTTCCTCCGCCGCATTAGACTTTTACTTGGTCTGTTCTCCCGGACTTACATGACATGATCATTTCCCCAAACATTCTTACTTCCCCTTCATATTCGCCACCTCTTCGCACCCCAC